CTTTAAAGTTTAAAACATTCCATTGTTTGGGGACATGTTTATGAAGGTTCATCTCTTCCCACGTGTACCAACCCCAAGCCTTAGAACTTTCCTGGAGGTTTTTTTCCGGGTCCCTCACCCAGGTGTGTCATGTTTTTTAGATGGGAAGCCTGCAGTTAGGGACTGTCTTGTTTTGTACGTAAGCTGTTCTGGAAGCTCTTTTGCCTGAAAAGCAGGGTACAAATGCTCCAAATAAACAAGCACTCTTCTCTGATGACATCCCATTATCAAATGCCCTCCTTTGAATGGCTTGCCTAGTGCCTAATTTAATGTCCTTTCAGAGCCAATAGAAACCCTATTTATTTTCCAAGGGCTTTTAAATTTGGTGTTCTGTTCAACATTCTTTGATATTGATTTAGTTTTTTAAAGCTTGTTTCTATGCTGCATCACATTTATTGTATTGCTATGGCAGTGTTACTGATTTTTAACTTCCTGTAATTCTGACATGAGAAGTTTTGTAATCAGTTGACTTATAAATACCACAAATAAATGAATAAATGAAAATTGAGCATTTGGGAAGCTCCGATTATAACACGCTTATATAACTACAATATCAGTCTGATGTTACGTTCTACTGTATAGTAGTAGCAGAGCTTAGGGTTCTGTCCAGTGCTAGCCTTAATCAGCATAGACCCATTGAAATTAATAGACACAAGTAACTTAGGCCCATTAATTTCAGTGAGTCTGCTTTGAGTAGGGCTAGCATTGGCATTGGGATGCGGGTGGCGCTGTGGGTAAAACCTCAGTGCCTAGGACTTGCCGATCGTATGGTCAGCGGTTCGAATCCCCGTGGCGGGGTGAGCTCCCATCGTCCGGTCCCAGCTCCTGCCCACCTAGCAGTTCGAAAGCACTCTTAAGTGCAAGTAGATATATAGGTACCGCTTTATAGCGGGAAGGTAAACGGCGTTTCCGTGTGCTGCGCTGGTGCTGGCTCGCCAGCTGCAGCTTCGTCACGCTGGCCATGTGACCCAGAAGTGTCTTCGGACGGCGCCGGCTCACGGCCTCTAGAGCGAGATGAGCACGCAACCCTAGATTTGGACACGACTGGCCCGGAAGTGTCTTCGGACGGTGCCAGCTCACAGCCTCTAGAGCGAGATGACCACTCAACCCTAGAGTCGGACACGACTGGCCCATACGGGCAGGGGTACCTTTACCTTTACCTTTAGCATTGGCTACACCCACAGGCCCTGGTGATGGGTTTCAGTATATGCAGCAGCAAATAGGCTTGCCATGTCACACTCCTGCATAAGGGACAAAAAGCTCACACATACAGATAAGGCTTTTGTCTGACAAAAGGCTTTTTCAGTGGAATCAGTTTACATGTTCAGCAAACTCCTAAACATGTTTAACCAGAAGTAGATCTCATGGAGTTGGAGCTTACTCCCTTGTGGCAAGTGTGCTTAGGATTGCAGCCTAAATATCTCTGAACTTAATAGTTATTTTAAGGTGTGGTACATTTAAAATTGCTCATATACTGTTATACTACCTCCACTTGTAGTCTGAAATATCTGGATGTAATGGAGCAAAATCCAGGTGCTGATTTAAAACCAAGCTGTTCCTTCTGTAAAAGTTTTGTTTTAATCAAGACCGAGGAAAGTGTTGCTTACTACTTCCCCTAGCTCTGAAATACTTTATTGCTATTTTCTGGTACATTAAGGAAATCCCAAAATGAGGTGTTTGGAACAAATTGCAGCTCTCTCACTGAAGCCAAGCAAGTAATTCCAGATGGTAGTTTGGAACTCACTATACAACCATGAATTTATATGCTTGTGAATAGCTATTCATGACTGCAACTTAATTCCATGTTCTTTTTTTGGCACTGCTGTTCACCTTTAACTCCACCATGGTGTAAAACTTGTTTTTTTGTAAAGCACTGAATCATTCATTCTATTTTCCCCCCCTTAAATGAGCTCAGAGTTCCCATAAATGTAAATATTTCAGGAAGGCCCAATGCCAGCCTACTTTTGACAAAAGACTACTGTAGCAAGTACTCAATATAACTAACCAATCTACCGCTGGAAAAGTCCATAACAGATGCATTTGGAAATGCCTTTTCTAGTATGACAGAATTTTCTCAGTATGACAGAATTTTCTCAGTTCTCTCACAAAACTGACTGCATGTTTTAAACAAATGGCTATCTTTCATCTGAGCCACATTGCAAGGATTCTTTAGATCGCAAAAGCAAAGGCAAGCAAAATGAATAGTACAGATATTTCAGCCCACAGTTACAATACTATCAATTCAGGGCTTTTTTTCCAGCCAGAACTTGCCAGAACTCAGTTCCAGCACCTTTCAGGTGGGCTCCATTGCCATTCAAAGAGAACGAGGGGGGCATTCATAGTGAGTTCTGGCACCTCATTTTCTAGAAAAATAGCACTATCATCATAAGAGATTTCGCAGTGTCACTATTTCCTATATTAACCAAGTAACCCATGAGAACATAGTCACTTGGGAACAAATAAGACACTCTTCATCTCCTAGGAACTATCTTCTTGTGATTTGTCTGTTGGGAGTGCAGTTGCACATGTGTTTGATTATGACACACTGCTCTCATTCATATGTCATGTTAAACATTTTATGTTTTGAAAATCAGAAACAATTCATCTTGAACTCATATGTTCTCCCTTCCCCTTTTGATGCACCACGAGGAAAAGTTCGGAAATTCTCACTGCTATTTATATTAACTGCCATTTAATCTAAACTTAAATAAACCATGTTTGGCTGAAACAGCTCCGCCTTCCAACCATAATTGATGGAGTCAGATTGCTTTAACCAGGCATACTTAACATGAACCCTGTTTTGGTTTGGATGACACACTCAGCTGCTGTTGATCTAAATGAGAAGCTTTAGATCCTTCTCATGGCCACATCATAGAAAGAAAGTGAGCCTTGCTGACTCTTGTTCTCCTAAAACTAAACAGTTGTTTAGCATTATGCCCAAACATAACGATTGTGCCAGTTGATCAGGGAGCAAAGGATTGCACTAGTATGATTTCACTAGCCATTGTGCATGCACAACATTTATGGTGAAGGCATTGTAACCAGTCCCATGTAGAGCAACAGGGCATCAGGGAGCAGGCCCGTGGCATGCAGCCCCTCATTGCAGATCGCAGACAGAACCAGTCTGCTCATGTGCCACAAACATCTGCATGGCGGTGCCCTGTGTGCGGCAGTGCATGTGAATGCCTGCAGGTGGGGTTAGTTGGCACATACAGTGTCAGGGGTGGGGCTACACATTGGGACATATGCACAAATAGGTTTACTCTTGAAAAGAAAAACCTCATGAGACAAACAACTGCATCTGCAATGGTTAAGCTATAACAAGTCTCAAAGCTGAATTCTGATGGATCAAACCATTATTTCTGACAATACAGTGATGTGTAGTGCAGTGTGACACCCTTTATAGAACGGATTTTCTGCTTTGGCTGCCAAACATCGGAATTTAAGCATGGGTATTATGTTAGCTAGACCTGACTGGTGACGACTGCTTTGTGTTGCAAGGCAGCACTGAACCAGTCCTAGCAGTGCAAACCTATGGGGATTAGAGAGGAATGTGCCTGGGGAGTTCCCTAGCAACAGCTCTTATTAAGACGAAATGTTAAAATGGGGATGGAACTGTTATGAATTAACCAATGTTTAGATTGTATGATCACACATTCCTTTTATTTTGGTTGCTTGTGATATTACAGTATCGCTGTTCAAGGGGGAGTGCGTAATGCAAAGCTTCTCTATGAATTAATTTTGGCTGACAGTGTTCTTAACAAGTGACAGTTCTAAATATAGCCTGATGAGCAAAACAGACATTGCCCTTAGGTTGGGCAAACCACATTGCAGTCACTTCCCCCACCCCTTTTGATATGGGAAACATAACAATAAAAGATCAGGAATGAAAATACAGAACCAGTGCCCCTTCCCCCTTGCCCCGTGTATCTCCCCCTCTCTCAATGTTAAAAATGAATTTTAAAAGGCTTATGTGAGCATGACATAATTTTGCTCCAGATTATTTTTGTTCTCTTGCTCTGTTGAACAGTATGTGACAGTGTGCAAGTCAGTCACCATATGCTCTTTGGAAGAACTATGAACATCAATTGTGGGTGCATGGTTCGAGATATATGGATGCCCATGTCTTCCTTCCTTCCTTCCTTCCTTCCTTCCTTCCTTCCTTCCTTCCTTCCTTCTGGATCAGGTCAATGGCTCATCTTGCCCAGCATCTTGTTCTCACAGTGGCCAACCAGATGACCATGTGAAACCCACAAGCAGGACCTGAGCACAAAAGTACTCTCCATCCCTGTGGTTTCCAGCCAGTGCCGGATTTACGTATAAGCTAAACAAGCTATAGCTTAGGGCCCCACTCTCTTGGGACCCCCAAAAAATTTAAAGGGAAAAAAACACCTGGATGTACATTTCCAAAATATAAGATAAAAAAATAAAAATAAAACCTACATACAGCAACATTGTTTGTTAGGTCCATAAATTGCCACATAGCATATGTTCAACACAAAAACAGTGACAATTTGTTGTTGGCAAAGGACAACTGGACATATAAAGGGACAGATTACCTTCACTAGCTTAGAGCCTCATCAAACTTAAATCCAGCCCTGTTTCCAGCAATTGGTATTTGGAAGCATTGCTGCCTGGGCAGGTAGTTCCAGAATCTGCAGACTATGGCTACTTTTCTCAAATTTAAATTTCCAAGGTAACTCCACACTTGCTGTGGCAAATGTGATTGCATGTTGCACACCTTCTTCCCAACAGCAAACATGCACATATATTTTAAAATACTGTATTTTTTGCACCATAACACTCATTTTTTTCCTCCTAGAAAGTAAGGGGAAATGTCTGTGCGTGTTATGGAGCAAATGCCTACGGGTTGCAGGGGGGATCTGCTGCAGTTGTGAGCAGAGGATCCATGGTTCCCCTTCCTTCCCTCCTCCGTGGCTCGCTTTGAAACAGCAAAGCGGGAGAAGAGCCGCTGAGTGGGGAGGAGAGAGGGACAGAGAGCCTGCTTGCTTTAAAGGAGCAAAGCGGGAGAGGAGAGGAGCCGGTTTAAAGCAAGCAGGCTCTCTGTCCCTCTCTCCTCCCCACTCAGCTCGCTAAATAGCATGATTAGCAGCATCCTTCTCCACACACCCCACGCGTGCTCCTTGTCCCTTGAGTGCTTTTCCTTCCCTCCCCACTTAAAACTTGGTTACAAAGCACAGATCCACATGGATCCTCAGGATTTTTGCACTGGGTCACCCCAAATTCACCATCAGATCACATAGCATGTCCATGGCTACATCTTGCACCAAAAAAATCACGCACCCACTGTTGCCTGGGGTCGCAGTGGTGCAAAAACGTGGTTACAAAGCATGGATCCACATGGATCCTCAGGATTTTTGCATTGAGCTACTCCAAACTCACTGTCAGATCACATGTCTGTGGCCACAGCATGAACCACAAAAAATCATACATCCACTGTTTCGTTTAGAATATTTTTTCCCCCTTGTTTTCCTCCTCTAAAAACTACATGCGTGTTATGGTCTGGTGCGTGTTATAGAGCGAAAAATACAGTACCTATGGGCATCCATTTGGGGACGCTAGAGGTTTGGTTCCATCATCAGACAGAATGAGATGGTAGTTCAGGTAGTGACCACAGAGGTGTTAGAGGACAGAGCAGTGTGGGTTGCATGGGCTGGCATACCCCAAGCTACTTGCTGCGCCAGGGGCAGTGACAGATATTGCCAAGGGCTCTCCCCTCCCGTCTGACAGAAATAGCAGCAGCAAATGCAGAGCAGGGAGACATGGCAAAGCTTGGGAGTTCTTCTGGCTGCTCACCCTTTCCTGTCACTGATGGGGTTCCAGAAAACAGCCCCACTTGCCTGAGAAGGCCAGCTGTTGAAAACCAGTGGGTAGTGAGTCCTCCCCCAGGAATGACCCAGTTGGTCTCCCCTCTTGCAAAGATGGCAGAAAATGTATGCTATTGTTCAACAATCATGTGTGCCAGATAGAGCCTTCAGCCCAGTTAAAGACTGGGAGCAAAGGAGGAACAAAGTCACCTCAACTAAAGCTGACATTTGTCCTATTGCTGAGGATGATCACAGTCAATGGGAAGAATTACGGCACTACCAGCAACTCCAGAGATGGTGCAAGGAAAATTCAAGAGGTCTAATCAATCTACTGCAGTTCCGAATAAAAATTACCCTCCAGATTCAGCAGACTGGACAGTCCCAGAAGAAGAGGATTTGTTGAGTAGAAGAAGAAGAAGAAGAGGAGTTTGGATTTGATATCCCACCTTTCACTCCCTTTAAGGAGTCTCAAAGCAGCTAACATTCTCCTTTTCCCTTCCTCCCCCACAACAAACACTCTGTGAGGTGAGTGGGGCTGAGAGACTTCAAAGAAGTGTGACTGGCCCAAGGTCACCCAGCAGCTGCATGTGGAGGAGCGGAGACGTGAACCCGGTTCCCCAGATTACGAGACTACCGCTCTTAACCACTACACCACACTATTAACCTACCAGATAAAAAGCAAAGTGATAGTCTCACCAAACTAGCTAAGTTACAGTCCAGGTTGACCCAAATACAACAACATGGACAACAAAACGTTGGTGAAACAATTGACAATCAAGCCTTTCACCCACAAGCTGTTTCTCCAAAATGTATGGTTAGAAAGAAGGTGGCCAGAGGAACGTTTAAGTGCATAGATGCAGAGCTGCAAACTCAACCCCCCTTGGAATATGATATGGTGAGGGACAATCCTGATTGTGTGACTATGAATTCCTGGCTAAGCTGCTGGAAATTAGCTCCAAATGAAATACGCAGTCCTCTCCAGAGAATCAGAAAGGATACTAACACCACTGATCAGATGAAATTAGGGACCTGGACAAAGTGGAAATGACAAGCACAGAGCCTTAAAGGAATTGGGGCTAAAACTGATGTCATGGAACATAGCAAGCTGGCGTTCAAAGCAAAATAATAAACAGCTGATGAACTATTTTGAGCAATGTGATATTATTCTGCTGTAAGAAACATGGCACAATGACTGTGTAATGCTTAACGGATACAAGTGTCACTCATTGACAGCCACTCCCTCAATGAAAGGTGGTAGGGCTGGGGGGGGGGTCCTAGCATGTTTCATCTCCAGAAAGTTAAATGCAAACTACAACAGCCATGATGCCATGGATGCGGGAACAAGATCATTTCCCCACTCCTCTTTTTAAAGAAATTCAAAAATTGTGAGTTTCAGCTGAGGAAAGGATACATGGATGCTTTTCTATATTGATCTAGCATACAAGATGTGACACACATGAAGGCTAAAATTCAGACAAGAAGATGGAATTATTATTTTTATCACGTTGGTGGGAGGTGGATAGAGGAAATCTGGGAAAGGAGGTTGTCTGAACCAAATCACAGTGCAATCTGTCGCTGCTATGGTGGCATTCTCCTGACAGACCTGAAGTAGTATTGCTGTTGGTTTAGGAAGGCCCACCATCCTACAGACAGGCGACATGATGACAGTGAAGTAAAAGCCCCCCCCCCTTTGGTGCTTCTGTTTCAACACGAAAGAATATAGCTGACACAATGTCTTGACTGTAATGTGAACGAAAGAATGATCAAAGAGCAGTTAAACAGGATTCCACCGGCTTGGCTTTGCTGAAGCAGAGAGATCTGCGGCCTCATTTGCCACCACATACATGTACTCACGTCCACATCAAACATTTCCTTCTGGGAAATATACTGCAAGAGGATAATTAAGAAGGAATATAATTGCTGTTGGTTGGGAACTTAGAGTCTGTACGTTTTGCAAATGGGGTATATCATAATCTGTTCTAATTGCATTACTCTTCATTCATGCATGAGCCGAATGAAAACACATCCATTTCCCTTAGCATATGCACCGACTGCTGCAAGTTCAAGGAGAAATGCATTAAAACAAACAAATGCTACCCAATTCAGTCAAAACTTTCTTCTATCGAACAGGGACAATGTAAGGCAACAGGCATGCATACTATAGGTTCAGTTAACTATTCAGAAATTAACACCACTTTCTATTGCCAATATTATGCTCAGCATGACGACCTTGAAATGTCCACTTCACAACACAGAGAATGCTTTTGGCACTGCTTAAGGGGAAATGGGCTAAAAGTCACTTTAATTGTATTCTACCTCCAGCATTAGAGGCAGGCCGCCTTCAAATATTAGTTATTGTTGCACTATGGTCCCACTTGTGGGGTCCCCTTGAGCATCCGGCTTAGAATTGTGAGAACAGCATAATGGACTGAATTGGCCTTTGGTCTGATCCAGCAGGGCCCTCCTTGTTAGCAATTCAAATCCATAATATTACCCATATTTTTGTTTCTAAATTCATCATAGTTAAACTATCGGAGGAAAGCCCTGTTTTCACCATGTCCATTCTCTTATGTATATAAAAGCTGTGTCCATATATCCTAGCACACAACAAAATCCAAGAAAGGACTATATCATTAGCAGCAGGCTTGATTCTCTCAATTTTTTGTGTTATACTTGTACATAAATCAAAGTGAGAATAATAGGCTTGGGAACATGGCAGAAGATACAGGGCACGTGGAAGTCTACAAAATGATGGCAACTAAAAGAGACAAATAGGGTGTGAAAAGATACACCATATAGTAGCCTTCCAAACCAGTTGCCCTCTATATGTTTTGAACCAAAAACTAATAGACCTGGGGAAAAATGTTGGCTGGGGCTGAGGTGTTGTCATTCCAAAAAAACTGGAGGACACCAGATTGGAGACTGCTTCAGCTATTTTTTTCTTTTGGTGACAGAAAAAGTTGTTAGTATGCAAGGGAGCCCTGAGTGCTCATTGGAAGGACAGATCCTGAAGCTGAGGCTCCAGTACTTGGCCACCTCATGAGAAGAGAAGACTCCCTGGAAAAGACCCTGATTCTGGGAAAGATGGAGGGAACAAGGAGAAGGAGACGACAGAGGATGAGATGGTTGGACAGTGTTCTCGAAGCTACAAACATGAGTTTGACCAAACTGCGGGAGGCAGTGGAAGACAGGAGTGCCTGGCGTGCTCTGGTCCATGGGGTCATGAAGAGTCGGACATGACTAAACGACTAAACAACAAATGCAAGGGAGGAAATTATTCCAGGAGTTTAAAAAAGAGAGAAAAGGGTATTGTTGCCTGTAATCAAATAGCCTGAGGATTTCTTTGTTCATTTATATATTTCAGATCAAACTAACAATCAAGATGTACAACCTTTCTTTTAGAATTCTAACTTGCCTAAATCAATTGAACAAGATAAAAATAATTCAGCATCCTGTTTTCAGGAGCCAATCAGGTGCCTGTGGGAATCCCAAAGCCAGCAAATGTGTGCAGTGCCTCTCATAATGGAGATAGTACCCAGCCTTCATGGCTAACAGCCATTGACATACACCAGTTTATGCACTGCTTGATTGTAAAACAAAACAAAACCTTAAAGCGGTCAACAAAAAGTTAAAAAATCACAGGCCCCAATATAGATGATTGGTTACATCTCTCCATTGTGAGCAGTGTCCATTTATTCCTACTCTCTCCTTCCTGTTGTTTAGCCAGTTACTGATCCATAAGAGGAACTTTCCTCTCATCTCCTGATTGCTAAACTTACTCGGAAGCTTCTGGTGAGCGACTGCATCCAAAGCTTTTTGAAAGTCTATGTACACAGCGTCAACTGGGTCACCTCTAGCTATATGCTTGTTGGCACTATAAAAAGGTTAGTGAAACAGGACTTGAGTTTTACAGAAGCCATGCTGGTTCTGCTTCAACAAGGGTTGCCATGAAGACTTTAAGTGGAGTAGCCTGGAATTTCCTGGATCCTCCCTGGATCCTTTCCCCTAAAATTGGTTTTAAACCGGCTACTTTCAAATCCTTATGTATAGAAGCTGATCCTTGGAACAAGTTACATATTTCTCTTAGCAGATAAGCAATTTCACATTTGAGTTCTTTAAGAACTCGAGAGTGGATGCCATGCAGATCTGATGAATTGGCAGTTTTTGATTTGTCAAAAAGGGAACTTTTTCTCTTGTCACCTCTAAATGCCTCAGTTTCTCACACTCCCTTTCTCTGAAAGTTAGCTCAGGCAGAGTCTTGGATCTTCCAC